TAAATAAAGGTTATATGCATTGTATATCATTTTAGTTTTGAAATAAGTTAAATGAATAAAATTAGTGTAAAATATCAAACCTGATTTTTAATTATAATATGTCAACTGTAAATAAGTACAAAGGAGTTGAGACAAAATTAAAGCCTCACGTTTAATAGTCATTTTTGATGCATTTATTATGTCAGAAGTGTAGGTGTCAAGAAGCATATGATATTTCATAGTCAAGTCTTTAAGCAGGTTTCACTAAACCAAGCAATGAGAAATGACAGGCCTCACTGAATTTGATAGTCAGATTATATTTTGAAAATTTCCAGTGTCCTCTTCCAATTATGATGTACAGAAAATCATACTGAAGTTATTGGCAAGTGACTGAAATATCAGATATCCCAAATAAAATAAAATAAATATTATTCATGTATTAAATACTAAAGACAGATAAATAATTATCATGAGTCTCTACTTCCCATTTATTATCAAATTCGGGATTTTAATATAAAAATATTTGAAACATATTAAGTGGAACATTATAATTCTTTAAAAATCGCCAATGGGAAAATCAAAACTAATATCTCATTTCAAACAAAATAAGCTGAGCAAAGTTTTTTTAGAATTACAGAACAGAATCAAATGTGCAAAATTCATATGTTCTAACTTTAAATTTGAAAACACCTAATCTTTCTTAAGTATTTACAATGGCTGATGTAACATCTGAGTATTTATTAAGCGTTTGACTGTATACCTTTAACATTGCTTTTTCCTATCTGAAAGGCGTTTTATTTTTCCTTGTTTGCTAGGAGAGAAACTGCAGGCAACAGTTCCTTTGGTTACACTGAAAATCTACACAGTCATTCACTAAATGGAAGCCAACTGATTACATATGTATTTGTCTTGCCAAGATGTAGAGTTAATCATTTTCTTTGGAGACAAATGAAGAAACTAAGCATTCAGTAGCTGAGGGGGATGTCAGGTTTTTTGTAACTAGTATGCTATACTCACTTATCTTTCTTAATCTTTCAAAAGAATGGAACACAATAAAAGTCTGACTCCACAGCAAAGAAAGTCACAGAACCTATATAAATCTGGTGCAGGAGAGAATAACGGAAGATAATAGTCACAATCCTAACACTAACATGAATAACAACTAACACTTATTGAGCACTTACATTATGCCACACACTATGATTTCAATTTTCCATGCATTTCTTCATATACTTTTCACAGAACCCTATAAGATAGGCACTGTTTTTATTTTCACAGAGATAGATTACTTGCTTCAAGTCACACAATTGGCTGCTGAATGTGTACTAATGCCCAAATCATAAATCTTAAGTTCCTAATGACTAGCATTCATAATCAGAAAACAGCAGAGTGCCTGCAACGCAGTAGGAAGTTAAAGATATTAAGCGAGTTGATTAAATGTTACCTTTTTTTAAAATGAATTAGCACATTTTTAAAAAATCTTAGTCTATTGACTGTTTTCTTATTATATGCAGATTTTCTATATAACTTAAACTTGCTAAATTTGGGGAACATAACAGAAAACAGAAAAGCCAGAATGTGTTTGTTTCTGGGTTCACTTGTCCGAAAATATTTTAAAGACCATCCGTGTTAAGCCCTGTATTACATACTAGTGATATAACCAGTATAATTGAGAAAGAGTCCCTCCCTTCTCAGAGTTCATAGTGGAGCTCTTCTTCCACACGTCTCTGTTAAACACTAGCTCCAGAATAAAGTGAAGTCTACAAAAATCCTTTCCAGGGAAACTATTATCAAAGCAGAGTCTGTTTCTTTTGCCCCAAATCCCCTTCATTTCTTTTCATCCTGGCAACATCTACCCATCCATTCACCCTTAAAGAAGTTGCTTAAACGTTAATCTGTGTAAATAAAATTGCTAATGATAATCACTTCCTTCTCAGTAACATCATTTCATAATTTATATCAGCTGTGTTATTGCACACACTATTGTGATTACTCAATTATCTCTTTGAGGGCAATAGTCATATATACTGCTTCGCGTAGTACCTTAGGTTTAGTAGGTACTTTTCTTGGGTTAGAAACAGATAATGTTTCTTAGATGAGGACTCCTGTGCAAGTGATTATTTATTTATTTATTTTGCAGGTGATTTTTTAAAAATTATACTTTAAGCTCTGGGGTACATATGCATATCATTCAGGATTGTTATATAGGTATATACATGCCATGGTGATTTGCTGCATCCATCCCCCCGTCACCTGCATTAGGTATTTCTCCTAATGTTATCCCTCCCCAATCTCCCCACCCCTTTCTAGCCCTCCCCTAGTCCCTCACCCCCCAATAGACCTCAGTGTATGATGTACCCCCTCCCTGTGTCCATGTGTTCTCATTGTTCAATGCCCATTCATAAGTGAGAACATGTGGTGTTTGGTTTTCTGTTCTTGTGTCAGTTTGCTGAGAACGATGATTTCCAGCTTCATCCATGTCCCTGCAAAGGACATGAACACATTCTTTTTTATGGCTGCATACTATTCCGTGGTATATATGTGCCACATTTTCTTTATCCAGTCTATCCTTGATGGGCACTTGGGTTAGTTCCAAGTCTTTGCTATTGTAAACAGTGCTGCAATAAACATACGTATGCATGTGCATGTGTCTTTATAATAGAATGATTTCAAATCCTTTGGGTATATACCCAGTAATGGGATTGCTGGGTCAAATGGAATTTCTATTTCTAGGTCCTTGAGGAATTGTCACACCACACTGTCTTCCACAATGGTTGAACTAATGTACATTCCCACCAACAGTGTAAAAGCGTTTCCATTTCTCCACATCCTCTTCAGCATCTGTTGTCTCCAGATTTTTTAATGATTGCCATTCTAACTGGCGTGAGATGATATCTCAATGTGGTTTTGATTTGCATTTCTCTAATGGCCAGTGATGATGAGTATTTTTTCATATGTTTGTTGGCTGCATAAATGTCTTCTTTTGAAAAGTGTCTGTTCATATCCTTTGCCCACTTTTTGATGGGGCTGTTCATTTTTTCTTGTAAATTTGTTTAGTTCTTTGTAGATTCTGGGTATTAGACCTTTGTCAGATAAAAGTGCTCCTGACCTAAGGGAAACTGGTAAGGGAGTCAAGTGGGCAACAGGATAGGCAAGAGGTGGAAGTCTAACAAAGATGTAATCTCAGGGAAATTCCTACAGATGGTGAGACTTAAGTCTTATTCTATAGGGGAATCCTGGAGTGAAAGCTAAGTCTCAGTTATCTTGTCCCAAGAAAAGAAAGCTGGGTTTTTATGCCCTGCCTATCAAACAGAGGATGTAAATCCCTAGGTATTTCTAGCTATGTGTATGTGTAGTGTGTGTGTGTACATGCACGAAAGAGTCATCAGTAGCCCAAGGGCAGTGTTGTCAAAAAGATGCAAAGTTCTTGTTAGAAGCAAAAGAACATCAAAAAGGAGCTTAGGTACACTAGTGCAAAGTAAAAAGGAATCAGAGATCTGGGCACAGTAATGACAATATCTGCTACAGCTTGCAATATTCATTTTATGAGATAAAGAATCAGTAATCCATTCATGACTCAGGCTAAGGCAGTATACCTGGGATAAGTCACATGAAGAATCAATGGGTTCAGAGTCACGGTTCAGGGAAAAACAAAACCTAAACAATACCATTTAGACTATTGACACTATCTCTTAACTTGCTGCTTCATTATTTAATTTCCAATACACAATACATTACCAGCTTTCTCCAGTGGTCACTGCTGGTTAGAACAGGTACTACGAAACAGAAGGTACATAAGTAGGAATGGAATTTGGTGCAAGCAGTTCCTGAAGTAGTCTAGAGAGCTGAGAGTCACAATCTGGGTCCATGACCAAACTTTCTTACATTCTTATTTTTTTCAGAAGAGGTAAAATTAATATTCTGAATATAAGTTGACTTTAGAACTGTTTATTTTTTTCTGTTTTCTATTGTATTGTCCAGTTCTCAGATTTCTGTTAGCCATAGAACTCCAAAGAGATGTACACACAAATTGAAACCATCTGTTTGAGCCTAACAGGTTTTACACCCTAGGGGCTTGGCATAACCAGGGGCTTGACATGGGAAAAGTGTGTATAAAATGTTATATTCACAATTTAACACAAAGTCTCTTATGCCCCTCAACTTTTTCCTACAACAAATCAAACTGCAAATATTACATCTCTTTCACAACACACGGCAAACCTGCATAATAGTTTACTAGCTAGGATTCTGACCATGAGTAAATAGTGACAGTTTAGAATATGACAGATCTGGCCCTGAATTTTGCCCTGCTATTTACTGGAAGGATTATCTTACACAAGTCATTTTACTTCAGCTTTAGTTTTAGCATTAACTAAGACAATCTGTGAATCCCTACCTTCAGTACTTAACAAAAGGGAAATAGCCCACAGATGGCAGCACTTTACTAGAACTCAAAACCCTAACCATTTTTATTTTTTAAGCAGAAGAAACATTATTTCTTCAAGCCATAATAATATTGGCATGAAGGTGTACACATTTTGCCACTGACAATGGTATTGATCAAACTTTCCAGTTCACCTAAGTGTGTCAGTTCAAGGGCTTAGAAAGTAGATGCCAAGATGGAACAAGGAATATAAGAGATTTATTGGGGTGTGACAAAGACTGCCTCCTTGGCCAAACTTTAGACAGCCTTCTCTGAGCCCTCTTTTCAACTAGGCCCTGTCTTTGGCCTGCCTAGCCCAGTTTTAGCAAGAATCCTACTAAGGCAGTGTAGTAATTATGCTGTCATATCCAATCATCCTGCCCTGACTTCAGCAAGAATCCTATTAAGTTAGTTTAGCAAAAATGCTTCTACCCTTGATGTTTGCTTTTCGTAACTTTTCATCCTCTGATGCCCCTCATTCTGCACACAGACTATAGATCCCCAGTTGTCTTCTGTAGGAGTTGAGCCTGATCTGTCTTCCCTATTACAACAGTGTTGACATCTGTTGTAATAGTCCCCAAAATAAAGTCTTTCTTACCTTTTTACAAATGTCAGAATATCTTTTTTTAACAGGTGACATCTACATAAGATAAGAGGGAAGAGGGCAAGAGTGGGCCAAGAAAATCTTCCAACAGTGATGTTCTGACACCTCCTGTGAACGGAGAAGAGAAAAGTTAGGAGGAGGGGATAAGAAGAGCCTCAGAGAACAGTGCAGCTCTGAGAAAGTCTTGGCAATGGAGAGCATAGCATACAGATTGCCCACAGGAGACACTGCATTGGGCAGAAATGGCCAGACCCAAATCCCCCTTCCATGTTCAGTCATTGGCTGGGGACTTCCTGGGTAGAGTGTATCCTTGGCTCAAATGCCTATACTGAATCCCAAATCCTAATGGCACTGCAGCTGGAGGCTGCTAGTTAACTGCACTCCCCAGAGTAGGTTCTCTCTCCAAGAGAGCTCTGAGCAGCTGCCACATTTAGTCAGGTGCTCACGTTCTGTGTTTAGATGACAGTGTAATAGAATTGAAAGCAATGTGTTTTGAGTCTGTCCCTTACCAGTTGTGAAGCCCTAAGAAAGTAGCTAAAACTCTTTGAGCTCAGAGGAAATGCATAGCAGTGACTGTTCCAGTATAATCTTGAGAGCTGTGATCGTTCACCATAGTGTCAAGACATGGATTCCAACAGTGGAGTTATTGCCAAAGTTTTATTTTCTTCTTTCTCCATTTTCTACAGCCTGACTCTTTCACCTGCCCAAAAATACCTTGATATGCCTATTTAGAAAACAGTTGCTTCTTTTCCTTCTTCCTCAATTTCCCCAAATTCAGTTTATACTAATATTAATGCTCAATAACTTGCATCAGTCAGGATGGGTTAGGCAATGCTGCACTGACAAACATTCTAAATATCTCAGGGGCTCAGTCATTCCACATACCCAGCCGTTTGTCCTCTGTTATACATTGAGGCAGGAAGAAAAAAAAAGATATGGTAAACCACACATTCACTCTTAAAATTTGCGTTACAAAATGGCACACTTTCTTTGGCCAAGGAAAATCCTGTTATTAAACCTAATGTCAACAGAGCAAAATGCATAATCCTATTATAAGATTTTTCAATAATCAAATCTACTGCATAGTTCCCTAGTTTTCACAACTTCAAACTGCAATCTGAATGTCATTTCTTTTCCTTACAAAATGTATTCTAATATCAGTACTTCAATTTGTACAGTCAACAGAAACGAAGAAATTAACTGCATGTGTCTCTCTTAAGAACTCCTTCTGAAACTCCTTACTTGAGCTTTAACATTTGTTTGCCTTCTTATGACTGCAGCACATTAGCGAATATATTCTAAGAATACCACTGAACTTTGTATGAAATGCATTAATCATTCATGCAGTTTTGATTGGCTTCTTTTCTTTATACAGTATGTAGCAGGCAAACAAGGTCACTATTGTAAGATTTATTACAAAGTATCTTACTGACAATCGATTTTTCTCTTTCTAATATCTTGTTGTGATACATTAGCCTATGAGCTTTTTTGGTCATTATTTGGAAGAGAAAAAGTAATACTTTTCTATCCTAATTCTTTAATAATCAGCCATTGTAAAAGGAAATTCAGAAGGGAAAAATTACAATAATGTATTATTTCCCTAATTATAAATTTGATATGTCAATAAGGCCAATGAGTTAGCTCAGAACATTTGGTGGTCCCACGAGTTATTGCCATTTGGTATTGGTACCTTTTTTAGGTAGAAATATAGTAAAATTTGCAATCTATAAAAATGTAAGATTATATCTCTTCCTGGACTGTCCTCTTCCCATTTTTCATTAGAATAATTTTGTAATTCCACAGTAATCTTGAGTAGGAAATATTTATAGAATAGATGGTTTTAAAAACTCCAAAGATCAGTTTATAGAATATGATACACTTTTATAATTAATGTGTTTTAGAAAAATTCTGTAAAAGTAAAAATGTTGTTCTGCAAATCAAATATGTAACTTTGTAAGAAGATACTTGAAAAATGCATATGATGATTCCCTTTTTTTCAATACTAGTTGCCATCTCTTGATACTTTTTAATTGGAAACCTAGCTTTCCAGTTCTGACTCTTACTTTGTATCTTCTTACAACTAAAACTACAGTTTCTACACTGTGTATCAAGGCACTGTATGATACTAACAACTATTGTGAAATTTCAGAACACATTGACTTCTTGATTGGGTTCTCTGATCATTACTCATGTATGGAAATGCATACATTTTTGTACGTTGATTTTGTATGCTGAGACATTACTGAATTCATTTATCAAATCTAGGAGTCTTTTGGAGGAGTATTTAGGGATTTCTAGGTATAAGACTCTATTGTCAGCAAAGAGATAATTTCACTTCCTCTTTTCTAATTCGGGTATCTTTTATTTCTTTCTCTTGCCTGATTACTCTAACAGGTCCAGTACCTATGTTGACTGGGAGTGGTAAGAATCTGTGTCCTTGACCTGTTCCAGATCTTGGGGAAATGCTTTCAGATTTCCCCATTCTGTGTGATGTTGGCCATGAGCACAATAAAAGAAATAATCAATAGTATGAACAATCTGCACAATTGGAGAAAACGTTTGTAAATTATACATCCAACAAAAAACTAATATACAGACTCTAAAAGGAACTCAAACAACTCGACACAATACCTGCAAATAACATCATTAAAAAGCAAACAAAGGACACAAACAGGCATTTTGCAAAAGAAGACATACGAATGGCTAAGATGCATATAAAAGAATGCTCAATATCACTCATGATCAGAGACATGCAAATCAAAGCCACAATGAGACACCATCTTACACCAGTCAGAATGGCTATTATTAAAAGGCAAAAAATAACAGATGTTGGTGAGGATGTGCAGAAATCAGAGCACTTATATACTGTTAGTGGGAATGTAATTAGTATAACCTCTATGGAAAACAGTATGGAGATTTCCCAAAAAACTAAAAATACATCTACCATTCAATTCAGCAGTCTCACTACTGAGTATGTAAAGGAAAAGAAATCATTATATCAAAAAGATTCCTGCAACCGTATGTTTATTACAGCACTATTCACAATATCAGAAATGCAAAATCCATGTAGGTATACACTGATGGATAAGTGGATAATGAAAATGTGATGTGTACACACAAATACTACAGAGCCATAAACAAAGAATGAAATCATGTCTTTTGCAGCAACATGGATGGAACTGGAGGACATTATCTGATGTGATGTAACTCAAAAAGTCAAACACTGCATGTTCTCACTCATAAGTGGAAGCCAAAAAATATGTGTACATGGACATAGAGACGGGAATAATAGACAGTAGAGATTTGGGAGGGTGAGAAGTTGGGGGTGGTGGTGTATGGGATGAAAAATTACTGAGTGGGCACTATGTTTACTCTCCAGGTGATGACTATAGTAAAATCCCAGACTTGACTAGTATACAATTTTTCCATGTAGCAAAATGGCACTTGTACTCCCTAAATCTGTGAAAACTAAAAAAAAATCAAAAGTAATGTACTAATATCCATCAGACACAGTAAAAATTACTAGGAAAGGTAGTTTCCAGTTTCATCATTAGACCACATGAAACTCCTCTTTGATTACATTGTATATTCGTGAAACAGGGTTTTAGCAATTGCCAGGATACAAAGAAAGTACTACACAAAAGTCAATATTTTATAAGAAATGAGGGTGATCATCTACAAACTGATTCCAAGGTTTGAGAGTGTATACAGTGCTCAACAGGTACAAACATCCTGTGGTTAAGAATAAAAGTTCTATTTTTCTTTTAATTTATATGTATTACACTTTTTCCCAAATGGCTACTAAATTGTCAGTGTGAAAAATGCCTATTGTCAGGGCATAACTCAATAAACAGATCATATGTAAATTTTGTCTAGGGTCCCCACATAAAATTTTATTGAAACACTAAGGTCAGTTTGCTGTGAGAACACTTAAGACCCTCTGAACTATATATATTATCTCTAGTGAAATATTTGAATATAACAAGGAATGTTAGAGTGGCAAAACTGTTTTTAAATTACTCAAAATAATAGATAATATGAACTTATAAATGTATATAAAATAGTGGTGTGCAGGATACATTATACCCTCCATGAATCCAAAATGGAAAACATTTGTTGCATCTGAACCTCAACCAATAATTTAACTATACATACTTTTCTACGGTGGATAATAAAAATATCCATACATGTTTATTAATTCTAATTTATTAATTCTTCCTTGATCTAGTTGTTTTAAATATGTTATTTTGATCAGCATAGTAGACACTGATGATTGCTTTCCTTGGAATCTACCCACTTATCATCACACACACACACACACACACACACACACACACACACACAAGGCAACCGTGTTATCCCATCTCTCAGCTCCAGAATTGGGTCTACCCAAACCAGTCAACATAATTTCATTCCCTTTAGGCCAATGTGTGGTTAAGAATGAGCATGTGATGTGAATTAGTTGGCCTAATAAAAATGTTCCTTAGCACTGTTTTATGGTTGGAAGAAGAGACGCTCTCACCTGCTCACTGAAGAAGAACTAGGAAGCCTGTGTCACAGGTTGTGTTGGCAGCCATCTTAAAAGAGCTAAGGGAGCCAGCCTCAGGAATAGGTCAACTCTATGAAAGGCAAAAACTACTTACTCTATCAAAATAAAAAGCTTTTACTTTGCTGAACGAATTCTAATTTGAAGCCATCTACATCTACACCAATGTACAACACAAACATGTTTGGAATTTTTAGAAAATTGAGTCAATAAGTGTTATCCTTGTTAAAATTTTCTGTTACCTGCAACCAAAACATTTTTACTGGTACAGACTTGTTGCTCCTTTTATAGCCAAAAGTAATAACACCTTAGAAAGTAATGCTAAAACTCAAATACTTTTTTTTGTTGTGGGAAAATAATTGGTTGCCATTCAAGTAATAATAAATGAGGTTAATTCTGTGTGAGGTTAATTTCTGTGAAAAAAAAACACACTTATTTAATGTCATGTAACTACTATATATGTATCTGTGTTTGTGCCTATGTGAATATATAAATACATAGATGTACTAAAAAAACAAAGATAGAGACTAACTTTCGTGGAGTTCCTACCATGTATGAGCCAAGACTGTCTTATTTAAAATATGTTTTATAACATATGGTTTATTAAATAAATACCCTCAAACTGCACAATTCCTCTTTGGTAAAGAAAGAAAAATATTTTTAAACTGGTTAAATATTTTCAATCTAAAATTTTCCATTATAGCTATATGGTAGAAAAATAGTAATGGTCATTTAAATCAGTGGTTCTCAATCATGGCTGCACATGCCCATGAACAACCTTGGATATATTAATTTGGTTTGTCTGTGTTGAGGTCTGGGCATTATTAACAATGCTCCAGGTTATTCTAAATGTGCAGTTAGGATAGAGTAACTACATTTTATGTGATCTTCTTCAGAGAGTCTTTGTTCCCACTACCTACTTTTGTTTCTTTAACCTCTCTGCCAAGTTTTTGACCTATGAATAATAAACCAGCTGCTTTTATCCTGATTTAATTCAAAGTATAGACAGTCAAGCTGCAGCTACATGTTGGACTCTGTCAAGAACCAAAGCTAAAATATCAACTCTATTTTTTTCTTTCTACTTTCCTTCAGAAAATCACCAACTGTCAGCATCTCCTTTGGATTTTCTGGCTTTTAAGAGTCAATACTTAAAAAACATCATTTTGCTTCCTTAAGTGAATTGAAGGGCCTCAGTAAGAAATCTATTAGGAGGTCTGAGAATGAACTTGGGCATAGACTTTAGGTAATTTTCCTTGCTGTCTGTGAAGGAACAGTGATTGGACGATCGCTTCTTCCCATGTTTTCTTCCAAGCTCTCAAATGCTAAGCATTACTAATCAATAGCATGTAAATTAGATTCAATGAAAACTGTTGGTGTTTATTTTCAAACACATTACCACAGAAGTCCTGTTCCAAATGTGAAATCTGTATTTCACTAAAAGGTAAGAAAACCATGACTATTTATAGCTTAAATCATTGGTATGTTGTTTTGTTTTTGTCTCAACAGTGCTTTCTCACTAATTTTCCCAAATTGCAGGACTCTTCAGAAGTGAAATAAATTTCAGAGTCCCAAGTATTATATCTCATTACAATAAGGGAAAAACAAAAGCCTTCAAAATAATTTGATTCCTAATTTTTTGAGGTTTAAGAGAGATTTTTCTGGACATGGTGGAAACAGGATATATTCTTATTTTCTTGTGATCTGAAGCATGTACAATAATACCAGCTGCTTCCATTTTCTTACACTGAACGATATCTTTACACCCTGCCATTAGAGAACAGCATTCTCAGGCATATTAAAGTCATTTGTAAATTGCTGAAGGCAAAGATCACAGTTGGGTGTACATTTCCCAAAATGTATTGTTAGTAGAAGTCAGGCTTATTAAGTCACTTCCTGTTATTTAAATGAGATTCCAGAGTATATGAGTATTGTGAATGTATAACATAATAAATTACAGAACAATATTCTTCCTGGTTCCTTAAATAATTGAGTTGTATGTGTGTGAGTTGTGTGAGTGTGTGTGTGTGTGTGTGTGTGTGTGTGTGTTTAAAAGCCTATATTTTATTTGCAGTTCAAAATTCTGGCTAAAAGGCTTATTTTGTATATATAGAGAGAAACTTTTATACAACCAATATCTAGAACTGTCTAAACTTAGTTCTCTATGCAATCACCAAAGGTCCAACTAAAATCCTACTTAATATAACACAGAATTCTGCTAGATTCAATTTAGAACTTACCCCTATTATTTTGTGGCATCAGTGTAGCCACCTGATGTAAGTGATGAAGAGAAGAAAAAAATAAGCATCCCCCATCATTTTCTGCCTCCTGAAAGATGGTATCTGATTTGAGGAAGAAAAACATGTTTTGCAGAAAGAACTATAG